ACAATGAATCTGATTCACAAGACATTTAATAGCTGATCTCTTCTGTATCTTCTGGCCTTGAATATAATTTAATATACATGATGAAACACTGAGATGTTGCTGAGATGTCTCACCCGGTCTGGGATGTTGACGTAGGTCCCAGCATCCAGCAGGTCCTGGACAATCTCAGTGTAGCCCTCCTTGGCAGCGATCATCAACGCAGTGTTTCCATCTTTGTCGGTCATGTTGACGTTTGGGTTCCTCTTCAGCAGCTCCTTGACCACCTCGGTGTAGCCGCCCCTCACTGCCACGATCAGAGCTGTCATCGAGTTCTGCACAGAGCCCAGGAGATGAGCAGGTGTTAGCTACAGCATGATTAACTAACAGTGCAGTATAGTACAGAGGCTGTGGTGCTAGAGGTAAGGAGCTGCATGTGTGTAGAAGAGCATGAACATACCGCCCCCTCCTGGTCAACGTCCGCTCCGTTCTCCAACAGGTGCATCACACAGTCAAAGTGTCCTTTCCTGGCTGCCCAGATCAGAGGAGTGGTCCCATACTGGTGTACACACACAAACACAGCTATTGTAACAAATATAAGAGAGATAACCCTAACCCTTTGGTAACTCTGCAACAGAGCAAACACAATCAGAACTTAAAAAAATACAGTGATAAAGCAAAAACTCTTGGAGGATTTGCATTTTAAGAGTCCAGGTAGTGCAATGTAGAGTAGCCGAATCATTTCAGAGAGTGGGGAGGGGGGTCATAAGGAAGAAGCTAGTTGCTCTAGGGACCAACAGGTGGAGTGCACAGCGTGTTGGCTCCTCGATAATACTGCTGGCCCACTTTATCAGACACTTAGTGCAGCGTGTATGCAGGTGAGGTGGCTGTGTCCCAGCCACTGTGCTGCTTTAACCACCATCTGGTGGTTCTCTGCTGTGCACACATTAATGGGGTATATTCACTCCCTGACATGTTAACCTGGACACTCAGTTTACTTTGTAATTTCAACCTGAAATACAGTTGCACTGTTTTCAAATGCCAGCTACCCACAGTGCTGAGAGTACTCTGGAAATAACCCGTAGCCATGATAAGGTCACTGTTTGTGTGCCGTCTCCTTACCTTGTCAGAACAGTTGACCTTGGCCCCATGCTGCAGCAGCAGTTTCACGATGTCGGCGTGTCCTCGACCTGCGGCCCAGATGATGGGATACACACTGTACTGCTGCCAGATAGAGGGGGAGGAGGAGGCGTCAGCTCTGGGCCTTCAGCTTCACCACAGTCATCGTCTTTCTCTTCTACTGTGTGTAATCTTTGTGCAAACTTACAAACGTTAAACTAAACTTTAACCGTCATGAGTCTTTAACATGGGTTTGAAATGTGATCCTTAATCCCGTAAAGCCCAACATATCAAAAAATAGCCAGAACATTCTAATTTTTTGGAACTGAGATGTTTATTAAACCTTTTAACAAAATCCAAAATATAATTCATTATTCGAAATTCAAGATTCACGATTTTTATTTGCCATATATGCATAGACAGACAGTCCAGGCATATAGGAATAGAGGTGCCATATTAGATTATTTCTATTTCTTTTGTATCACGTTTGATACATGGGGCATTTTTGGTGTTTTTTTGTTTTTTGCTCAGAAACCTCACGTATCAAATATGATACGAATGGTTTTATAGGGTTAAAGGACCAGGTCGGTCTTGTCCACATTTTATTATGAGTACGTGTTAGTGAGAGACATTTACTGTGGGTTTGATCTGATCAATAGAACCTTTGAGTAAGGTCTATTAGTCCGCAGACGGACATATGTAGTGCGCGTGCGTGCCTTTGTATTACTTACATCATGAGGACCGAAACATGTTAACACACTCACTCACACTGTGGGGACTAGCTTCTGGTCCCCACAAGGAGATCACTGAATTTTAGGGTGGCAACATGGTTTAGGGTTAGGATGAGGTTAGGTGTTAGGTAAGTAGTGGTTATGGTTAAGGTTAGGATAAGTCTACAGGAAATGAATGGAAGTCAATGTAAAGTCCCCACAAGGAATGAAAACACAGCGTGTGTGTGTGTGTTACCTGTCCTGTAGTGTTGGGGTTGGCTCCTTGCTCCAGCAGCAGTTTGGCGACCTCCACTCGACCTTTATAAGACCCCCATGTCAAAGCTGTCCATCCTCCCTGTGACACAGGACAATAACTGTCAATACATCTGTTTCGGTCACACAGAGGAAGTGATTCTTTGTTTTCAGGGCACAAACATTTAATAACTGCCTCCAAACGCACTTTAATGCATCTCTATGCAGACAAAAGAACATGTTTGTCTATTGTGTTCAATATTTCAAGCTTCTCTACTGAAGATGTATTTGATATGATCCAGCTGTTTATCCTCATTCATGATGTTACCACAGCAGCCTCCACTGGAGGAGTCAGAGCTGGTGAGTGATACAACGATAAACAGCTGCATTATAGTTTGTTAGAAACCAATTAGTACATGTTTACATGCTTCTTATAAATGCTCAAATGTCCCGTGTCAGTCCGCAGCCATGATGTTTATAGACGTTAATGTTGTTCAG